TCGCAAAATTCTGGACTTTTGGTAGTACCTAGGATAGCAAAGTCAAGTCAAATCACCTTTATTTATATAGCGCTTTTAACAATACAGATTGTGTCAAAGCAACTGAACAGTATTAATTAGGAAAATAGTGTCAATAATGCAAAATGACAATAGTAAACACTAATTTTTCAGTTAATAAGGGCCTTATAGGTAAGTAATAATATTTTGTAACTGATATGGAACTTAATAGGTAGCCAGTGCAGAGACTGTCAAATTGGGGTAATATGATCATATTTTCTTGACCTGGTAAGGACTCTAGCCGCTGCATTTTGGACTACCTGTAGCTTGTTTATTGAAGATGCAGGACAACCAGCTAGCAGTGCATTACAATAGTCCAGTCTAGAGGTCATGAATGCATTAATTAGCTTTTCTGCATCAGAAACAGGTATCATGTTTCGTAACTTGGCAATGTTTCTAAGATGGAAGAATGCTGTTTTTGTAACATGGGAAATATGATTTTCAAAAGACAAGTTGCTATCTAATATAATACCCAGATTTTTGACTGTAGAGGAAGTAACCGTACATCCGTCTAGTTGCAAATTGTAATCCACGAGATTCTGTGTACTGTCTTTTGGTCCAATAAGTAATATCTCTGTCTTATCCGAATTTAATAGGAGAAAATTATTGGTCATCCAATCTTTTACATTTTTAACACACTCTGTTAGCTTAGATAATTTAGAAGTTTTATCTGGTCTTGTTGAGATATATAGTTGATATTTGTGAACAATATTTGAGAGAAATAGGCCTTTTGTGTACATAGAAAAAGTCTTAGATCTTTGAGTTCAGCTCATGAAAAATCGGGGCAAAAACAAAAATGTTGCGTTTATAATTTTGTTCAGTGTAGTTAAAGAACAGCAGCGTTCACCCTGCAGCAGTGCGGTGTCATCAGTTTGAGACTTTGAGAGTTCCTGTTATTGTGTCTGTCTGCTGAGAGATACTGTTGACAGAGATTAAAAAAAAATTGTTTGCTCTGAAAAGAAAACAAAATTATGAGGGCATCAGGTTTAAAATGGTAATTATTTTTATATTTTCTTTTTGTTGTCACAATTTCAGAATGAGTTTTTTTTTTTTGTCAGAATTCACAATTTAGTGATCAACTGTGATTTGTGCCACATAATAATTTGGGATGTTTGCTAAATATTAAACATTGGCGTGTAACTCATTTTGTATAAATATGACATAAAATGGTTCAGCTTTTTAACTTTTCTAAATGATTTTACTTTTTTTTGTATGGCAGATGATAAAACAGGCACAAAAAAAAAAATCTGTGAAAGAGGGACTCGAGCCATATCTAGAGACCAGAATATTACAGAAACTTGAGGTCAAGCTCTTTGTCGGTTTGCAACCACACAGAACACCCTAGCAAATACATAATAATGCACTAAGAACAGTCATAGCAATTGCAATTGGTAGCTACTGAGAACACATTTGCAACCACATAGCAATGCCCTGGCAACCACCTACAGTGCCTTAGCAACTATTAAGCAATGCGTTAAAAACCACAGAGAAAACCTTACGAGTTGCGACCCCTTAGCAATGCATGAAAAACCACTCAGAATACCTTAGCAAATGCGTAGCACTCACATAACTGTATAGCAATGCAGTAAAAATGACTCGGAACACCCTGGAAACCACCTATAATTCTTTAGCAACTCCTTAGCAATGCACTAAAATGACACAGAAAATATTAGCAACTGTATTGCAATGCATGAAAACCATTCGGAACACCTTAGCAACTGCATAGCAACACCCTAGTAACTGTATAACAGTGCACTAAAAACTACTCAGAATACAATGAAAACCAGCTACAAAGCCTAGCACATGCTTAGCAAAGCATGAAAAGTCACTCATAGCAAGTACATAGCAACACCCTAGTAACCAGATAACAATGCTCTAAAAACCGTTATGAACAATCCAGCAGATCCTAGAATATCCCCATAGCAACCACCCACAACCACTTAGCAATCACATTGCAACACATGAACATCTCATCAATTACTTAGCAGTGCATGAAAAAACACAGCAACCACATAGC